GAGCCCACTGACGGGAAAACTACACGTGATTACCAGTGCTAGCAGCTGCAGTGGGAATTCTGTCTTGCTGCCAAGTACCTGGAAGTACCAGGTACTGCTGGGCCTCACCTTCACCCTTGGACCAGTTCAAACGAAGGTGAACTTACACACCAGGAATTTTACCTGCAGACAGATCCTTTGATAATAACTGGGTTTCATTCCACTGCAAGACTGTTACCTGCTGCCCAAGCAGCACAGTCTGTGATGTACCAATATTTAAAGTATTTCCACAGGAACCCACTGCAGAGAGGTCAGGGAGCGCCTGCCCTGCACTGTCCCTGCAGATGCAGCATTGTTCCAGCCTTTCTGCCCCAGGTGATCTTGTGCTTTGCCACACAAAGGAAAAAACAAATCCTCATTCCAAAAGTGGAAAGTAGGTGGGTCATCATTCTGTGGGTTCCATAAATGTGAAACACTGTTCTTCAGGACTTGGGGATCAGAGACTGAAGCCTGCAGGACCCCTGAAGAATCCAGAACTTCAGCTGATGGGAGAACTGAAACCCCTCTATTTCAAAGGCAGGTGTGCCAAGAGGCACTTTTACCAGATTCAAACGTTGTGGCTTAACTTAGAGAAGAATTTGGTCCAAGTGGCTTCACACAGATGCAACCAGAAGTTGCATCTGCTTCTGTCTGACCTTGCGTATCCTGCCTGGGAGGTCTGGCAGTGACTCATTTGACTCTCAAGCTTTACACACATGACTCAGGGCTTTAGAAAAGAGAAAGCTAGTATGTGCAATTTTATTCCACTTAAAATCATGGAAATACCAGCTCAAAACTCTCCATGCAGCAGATGTAAAACACCTACTGTTAAAAAGCTTCTGAGGTGGGCCTTGGGTGTTTGGGGTTTTCATTCAAGAGTGGGTATATCATTATCTGACTGCTTTATCCTCTTAGGAGAATCAGTGCCACTTTCTCCTAACTTCCTTTTAGCACAGTCCACACATGAAGTTCCTGGGGTGAGAGAGGGGAAAGAAAACAAATTAATATTGCTACATCCATGTGTTTGGTGTACTTTTTATTTTAAGCACCAGCTAGCAAGATACAATCCTAGTCCCCTGACGTTCTCATATTTGGATTCTGAATTACATGTAACATTAAACCTGCTAAAGGTCTGGGCACAAGCTCTCCCCCAAAACTGACACAAACAACAGGGACTCAGCTCAGGATTCAGCTGCCTTTTGCTGAAGCTAATTTAACACCTATGGAGCTCACACGTGTGTCTGGATCTCTTGTTCAGATGCCCCAGCTTGAGTAGGAAGACTGAAATAGATTACCCCAGTGGTCCCAACCTGAACCATTCCTTAAGTCTGCAACAAAAAATCATTGGTGTAAACTGCTGTTGGAAGTACATAAACAACATAACTGAAGAGTAACATGAATGGAATAGAAATTCCTTCAAAACCTGAATATTCACTTAGATTTTGTGGAGTATTACACACAATAATCCTCTTGGGTTTTTTACTTAATCTGTATTCTGAACTACAAGTAAAGAGGTGCTAAAACTACCTAAAGATGGTGCCACCAAGTTAGTAAAGGAGGACTGTTAAGAGGGATGTTAAGAGGGACTGGAATAAATTGTACTCAAGGTTTTGGTTTCTCTTCTGCCTAATTGTACTTTTTGAAAATGGGATTTATGAACTCAGTTGAGAGAAAGATAAATTTAAAATCCCACTGGAATTACAAAACTAATCTCTGACTTTACACCTGCACTTAAGTGTCTTGGAGCTTGTGCTTTTTGATTGGGAAAGAGCAGGGGTTTCACCTCCTGCACTGCCAAAGGCCCTTACATGCAGTACCGAATGATACTCCTATACAATTTTGATGTTGTCTGCAGCAGCACAGATCTCTCAGGAATGGAATCTTTTTTAAGTTGTTTCACTATATTTTTTCCATCAACTTGAATGTATTATTGCTTGGGTTATTCATAGAAATACCACAAAGCAACCTGAACAGCTCAGCTGAAAAATCACCTTCAGTACCACACCCTTGAGATTCACTCTTCCTGACCCCCTTAAGGAAGGCTTTTGGAACAGAAACCTGTATTTGGAAATATAAGCCAAAAATCTCATTGATGTTAGCATGTAAAAGCTCCAGAAAATGTATATAGAGTTACTAACATTGACCAGAGTATTCTGAGGTAATACTATCATTTGTCATTTGATAGACCTGAAAAGGCTATCAGTTACCTGCTGCTAGGCAGAAAGAAAACCAGAGTAAAAAAAGAGCATTCAGCAAACTTTCAGAGCTAACTCAGAGCTCTGCACAGTAATTATTTAATTACTTTGGAAATAAGAGGGATATTTTTCTTGTGTTGGTACCATTATGGAACTTTCTGTGAAAATAAAAGCATTACTTACCCAAAAGCGTTGTGCTGTCCACCCGTTCAGCATCTAGAGAAGTGTAAGAGACATCAGCAACACACATGAGCATCCAGGAAGTTTTTATACTTTTATGCACCATCCCAAAACAGCAAGGTTGTGTCTAGAAT